GTGATGGACGTATTACTGTCAATGAAGAACGATTCATGATATTATCATTTTTTTTTCACAACATGAACAAGATAAGTATCACACGAGACTGACGTTTTGGATGAAGAAAGACGTTTCGAATCACATCTTTTGTTGCGAAACATTTTTTTATAGATTTCACTTCATTGCTTTTTCTCTGAAAAGAGGATAATAATTTAGTTTAAAAAGATAAGTCGAATCAATTTTCACTCTTCGCAAAAATTTGAATCAAGATAACTGTCCCATTTTGTATTGATCCATTTGAAACAAATTCATAGTAGTTGCGATTAGGTGATGTCCAGGTAAGTGAATTTTCTGGAAAGAGTGTGACGCTAATACCATGTGGATAGTTGAAATCTTCATTCAGATAGATGACTGTTGGTTGTCGAATGTTCGTATTGATGATAAACTGCAGTTCGAATAGGTTGGTGGTAGGAAAGAATGCCATACGTGTCGGAACACCTAAATCGTTATCGAAATGATATTCTTTCTGATTATATTGATTCCATTACCTGCAATAGCTTGTGCATCTGATCGTGAGAGTGCTTGCACCTTGTTCAATTCCAATTCGCCATCATCCGTATAGAATGATTCTGTCGTAGCAGGTCTTACGGATGTTGTCAAATCGGCATATTTCTTGAATTGCCAATAAGTCCAGCCTGAAGAGAACATGTAGATGAGCATTCGAAACTATCGATTAACACTAACATAAAATATGTTACAGTCAGTATAAGTCGTGATCTGTCTGCTAACTATTCATTCACTGTGTTGTGTTGCTCATACAGCTATATATACTTAAGTAAAGTGATCGTAGTAGAGTTATGTGTTTGTGTCTTTTTCTCTAGATTATTTTTCGATTGATCAATGCTTGAGACAGGACTGACTTGAAGCTGTCTGATCGATATAAATATTAAGATCTCATCGTATAGAATGCAACCGAAAGCAATAGTAGTTAGTCATTTCTGCAGAGAAAATAACACATGTGCCTACGGATGGACTCGAACCATATGTTGAAAATACGTCGTACATTGTGTTATATATACTTACTTTGTAGAAAGTCATCGGCTATTGAAGTCACTCGATTGAGTTCTTCGACACCTTTGGTAGAATTACTGAGTCCACCAAATTCGGTCAGCATCATACCGCCGAACTTTTTCACGCGCGCTTCTTTCACACGTAAATAGATTAGAGCATTATCAAAGAGTTCACACAACACATCTGATTGTGGATCTCCTTGCTTCGTCACATCCAAACAGTAGTCATGATAACTAAACACTTGTCGATTGTTGTATTCTTTACCACCTGGTCCTTCGGTGAAACCGGTTTGAAATACATCGAAGACGCATGGCTCAAAAAAGATTAGATGTTTGTCATCAACTTTTCGAATCACTTCATGCAACTTTTTATACATCGGAGCCAAATATTTTTGATCGACGAGACCCATTTGTAAAACATCGGCCAATGCTGGAAATGATGGCTCGTTGATGAGCTCATACCCAAGAACAGACGACTGATCAGCAAAATAACTGGCTATTTTATGCCAGAATGTGGCAAACGCTTCAAGAGTACCATTACCATCTGTATATCTAGATTTTATGAATAATAGGAAATAGAAATTGATTGTATTGAAGATATAAACAACTTACAGCATTTTGAATCCATTAACCACTCCTTCTGTGAAATAGTATTGACCAAAAGTATGTTTCAAACAATCATCAAGAACTGGATATCCTGTATCCGGTTCACGTGTAAAATTGATGGGAAGAGGAAATGGAAATCGGTTGAGAGTCTCATTGCCTAAATTTTTAGCTGCCCAATCAGGAAGACCCTCGCCACAGAAGAATCGTGAAAAGACATCTTGATGGCAATCGAGCAAAGCGTAAATGCCCTTGTTTTCCATCATTGAGACAGCTATAGACAGTTGAGAAAGATGCGCTTCATCGAATTCATTTGGTGATTTCGGATTGACACCCATCCAAGAAGTGTAAAAACGTATGACATTGAAGCCCCATTTGTAAAGATTGTCAAGATCAATATCTGTCAGTGAGTTTTGTGGATCAAAATCAGTTAGATTGGGTAAAAAAGNAAGGTCATTTGGACGAAATCGAGGTCTCTGGGAAATTCTTATAACTCCTGAGTAGACGATACAAATAAGATTGCATTTGCCTACATTGAAAAAGGACAATATTCTCTATCAAACGATCGAATCATAAATAAAAGTCCAATGTAAAATCATTTTAGGATATTGATTTTTAAAACTTGAAACAAAATATAACCTGATTGATCAATTGCCTATTGTAGGTTCTAGATTTATACGAAAAATATCCCACGTCCACTTCATTTCCAAATGGACAATAGAAAGTTTGCATTTTTTTTTATATTATCACATTTTTATTGCATTAAATTTTGAAACTATAAGTTTATTATTCATTTTAATAATATTTTCTTTTGCAAAAATAACAACGATTTATACTAAATATTCATGGTTTGTTAATTTTTAAGATGCATGTGTAGTATTGTAATAACCAGTTTCATGATGATGATGAGATGAACCTCTGTGACGGTTGCCTCTACTACCATAATGCAAATTAGCATATTGTGGTGTATCGTATCCGTTGTGATGATATGTTAGATATCCATTTGCTACTTGACGACGTTCTCTATGTTTCCCATACGCATAACCAACTAAACCAGCAGCACCTGCAGCTATTAAAAGTTCCATCTAATGTCGATAATTATACTGTTTAATATCTATGCATACATATAAATGTATGTTTTTATCAAAAGTGAAACGAAGAAATATTAATAACAGCGTAATATCGTAGGTGTAAAAAAGACCTTCTTTTTTTATGATAAACTAGTAATTACCGTCAAATAAAAAATATTGATAATATCTATGTCATGTTTTCTTCATTAGCATGTCTAAACATTCACTTTTCTACAAAACAAAATTGCGAAATATGATTCATAGTGTTTTTTTTTTCGTATCAAAACAAATAAGTTATAGACGATCGCAAAAGGAATATTTTTGCTGTTTTATGATAATTTATTATTTTTATTTTGTACACTAACAAATAAGTAAGGTCTAGTGAGATGAACTCTTATAGATTCAATAATTGGCTGTTTCTATACGTACGATGCTGAATGCATCACTTTGTTTTTTCTTTCTTCAATTTCTGTATCACTTGATTTAATTAAATGACACATATGCAGGACATCCACAGATTGAATTCATCATTTATGTGATTATGAAACTTTAGAATTAGTCGAAATGTTAAATTTTTATTCTCAATTGTTCAATCATTTTTCATTTGAGATTATTGCTATTCGACCGACCGTGATGATTAGTGAAAATATCTGTTTTTTTGGTTTTGTTTTCCGATCTTCACATGTTGAGTTATAGATATCTTTCTTCGTTTCTTTGCTCTCGAAGAATAGAGTCGTTGAGAACCTGCATGATCAAATTTTGAGTTAAAATTTTATTCATAGACAGATCTTATAATTACTAGAAACATTCTGATGTTTGAACCAGAATGAACATACTCTTGCTAAGATATTTGCATTTTAAAGAAACATCTGATTTAGACTATGTTTTAAAAGATACACGTTTGTTCAAACGCTCAAACTTTGTAGTGTTTCTAGTGAACAAACATTGAGTAAAACAATCATAACTCAATGAGTAAACATCGGAAAATCAAACCAATAGCGACCTTTTTTACGACTCATTATCACCGATCGAATGTCAATAGTTTCAAATGAAAAGTAATTGAACAAGTGGGAAAATTCTCTCGTAAGAGAAATAGAATACACATGTCAAGAAGATCTTCGATAGATGGCAGTAACATTCGATCTAATGAGTACTCATTGATTGTTGTTGAAGCTTCTTTTAATTGTACGACCCTTTGATCTTCAGATCAGTATAACACAAAATAATGATTTCGAGTATATGTGTTGAGAAAGTAAGAAAAAAAAACTCGCGATTGACTTTTTCTCTGATTATTAATTCTATGTCATGATTTAAAATTTTTTTTTTATTTATAACTAAAAACTGAACATTATGAAAATAAAACTTTGTATATTGTATTCAGATACTAAATCTGAACTTTTCTTTGAATTATGCACGAATAAAATATAAAATTAATATTCACTTTCTAAATAAATAAAAAACGAAAAAAAAAACAAACATAGATTTTTCGATTTTCTCAATTATAATCACAAATGAATTGTAGTCTGTATATAAGTATATATATGCAAAATAAATGTTTACAAGTCAACTGATGTTGTTACTAAATGTTTTCATGTAAAATAACTACCACTTCGTCCACTACCATTATAACAATATTTAAAATATAGTATTTCACCGATGACTATTACTGTAATAAATGTTATACCTAAACCCATACCCAATTGTGCTGAACGAGTTGGTGGTGATTCGCCTAAATAAAAATATTTCTTTTTATTTTTCCATGAAAAAAAAAAAAGAAGATTTATATCAGACCTCGCATCATTTCTCCTGGACTAATAGTTGTAGCATTTGAATTTATTGTTGTTTGATTTATTGAATTATATGTAGTTACTATTGTTGTCATAATAGTTGTACCAGTATCACTATAGTTCATTGACGAGCCAGTCATTGCGTTATTAATAGTTCCCATTGATGTATATTCTACTGAAGTGGTGCTTGTTTCAAAACTGATAACTTTTAAACGCCAAAAAGTCGAGTCATTCTGAGCAGTTGAATTTGATGTGTTGTTAGAAAACAAAACACCTTGATCAAATGTTATATAAAATTCATCACTGATATTAAATTTAATAGAATCAGGCAAATAAAATGTAAGTATATTATTAGAATATGTTAGATTAGTTGTATTTGAATGCATATTGATTTGAGAAAGTGACGTATTCGATGTTCCATTATAGAAACGAATAAATGATTCGAAATAAGGTTGATTGACCGTTTGATTAACTCAAAAAAAAAAGAAAAAATGAATTTCTATTTCTTAAAACAAAGATTTCGATCATCGAAAACGACACTAAAATGACGTATGAATACATTAAGTTTTATCGTATTTCGCCATCATCTGACATTTCATTTTACGAACCGTGCATTTTTTTTTTTATACCACTAGAAAAACAACTATCGTTTCTTCTACTATTTATACTGTTCTATGAAATTACAGAAAATATCAATGTAATAGCATTGATTTTCATCATTTTATATCGTTTTCTAAGATCTACAATTTGTTTTATTTTTACTTTCAATAATAAACTGATTTGCATTTGATAAAATAGTTGTATTTGGACATTGACGAACAATACCAAAATCACCATGTATAGAAACAATGAAAAAACAGAAAATAACAATGACAAGCATGTTCATCTTTAACAAAAAAATATTGCGTTTTTATGTCTTGTAGTGAGAAAATTATGCGAGGATGTAACAACGAGGAAATAAAGAAGAAAAAAAAAGAAGTATATGATGTTAGTTTTTTTTTGTTGACTTCATCTTAGAAGATTACACGAGCATTTTACATCTCTCAATACACGAGTAACAAGAAAAGTAAAAAGAAAAAAAAAAATGAGGCACCGTCTATATGACATATGACAAAGAAAAAAAAAAAAGAAGAAATGAATGAGTTCATGGTTCCAAAGGTGGTTGTTATCTGAACTAGACAGAAAAAAAATTGAAAAAAAAGATAGAAAAAGTAATTTTATATAAGCATCAAATGCATGACTTCATGCACACAAATTTAAAAAAAAAAAAAAAAACTTATTTCTCCAACAATTGAAACTTTTTGAAACTAGAAAAACATTCTAATTGTCATAAATCAATGGATTTTAATATTTATTTTTAGAATCGTTCATGACGAACGAATGGGAAACTAAGTAAATAGTTATGAGTTTACATTGGTTGTCTAGATTACAGAATAACTAATATTGACAAATATTCATGAAATCATATGAAAGAAATATAGTCATGGATTATTTGACAATGTCGTTCTGTAAAATAATAATAATAATTTATAAATAGGATAATAAATGTCATATTTTATTGCAGTTGTTCAAACAGAAAAGAAAAGCTCAAAATAAAAATTGAGAAAGTATTTTTACAAGATATTGGAGATGTTGTGAACTTGTTATATTTATAAATTTCAAAAATTAGTTATTGTATAAATGACACTCTTTGGAATTTTTTTCTCCGGAAATTATGTTTTGTCCGTAGAGTTCATTTTTAATATTGTCATGAATAGATTTTTATATTTCTTTTTGAAAAAAAGTGTGTCAAACCTGACAATGAGTACACTGAAGATGAGTGCTGTTTAATAGAGAGGTTCGTAATAATGATCAACAAAATTTTCAACTAGCATGTGTTTTTTTCTTTTTGACGAAAAAAAAGTAAGCTTCTCATTGTAAACATTTTAGAAATTCGAATACATGAAATTGAATAAACAACTGTCTTATTCTTGAAAATATTTTGTTCATTATTCAATTGTTTACAAATTTATGAAGTGTACTAAATGAACTCAAATTCATCGTTTTATGATAAAATAAAAGTGAAATTTACATTAGTTTAGTTTCTAATAATGAAACTTTATTTAACAAAATTACCTGATCTAATAAGGATAAGTTTTTATATCATCGATTATTTTTGAAAGAGTTATTTTTAACTATTATTATCAAAATGAAAAGATTTGCTAATTCTTATTAATCTATTCGTTCTTGTCTTGTTTTGCTTTGTCCTAGGAGAAAAAGTAAAGACTTCAGCATTAAAGTAAGCTGTTTTCCTCTCGGCTTGACATTATCTACTTAATATAATCCATTTATTCAGGATTTTTGTTTCTCTAGAACATCTATGTACAAGATTTTCAAATATATTTTAATCATATCTTCTTCTTCTAATTCAATCATTTGATCTTTCTGTGAGTTTTACATAAAGAAAAAATATTCGAAAAGTTTCATAAACCTTTCGAATCGACGTTTATGTTATTTTTTATCTATTTAATTACTTGTATATGTTACATCATTTGATAATGTTTAATATAGCATAGCGCGAATATAATTATTCTTTTTTTTTTTTTTGCTTTTTAATCGATTGTTTGTTCTTATATGAAAGAAATCATATGTCTACATGTTGGTCAAGCTGGTTGTCAAATAGGTCATGCTTGTTGGGAATTATTTTGTCTTGAACATGGTATTCAACCTGATGGAACATTACCATTGAATTGTTCAATAAATGAATCTGATCCATCGATATTAACATTTTTTGAAGATATTGGACATAAATATACACCACGAATGCTTTATATTGATTTAGAAACAACAGTTCTTGATGAAGTACGTACTGGTACATATAGACAATTATTTCATCCTGATAGAATTATATCTGGTAAAGAAGATGCTGCATCAAATTATGCTCGAGGTTATTTTACTATTGGAAAAGAACTTATTAATCATGTACTTGATCAAATACGTCGTATTACTAATCGATGTCATTCATTACAAGGATTTATTATTTTTCATAGTTTTGGTGGTGGTATGTATGTTTTTCTTTTTTGTCAAATTTCATTTTATATTCAATATATATATATATATATATATTAGGTACTGGTTCTGGTTTTACATCTCTTCTTATGGAACATTTAAATATTGATTATGAAAAAAAAACACATCTTGAATTTGCTGTTTTTCCATCACCTAAATTATCAACTATTATTACTGAACCATATAATACAATTTTAAATACTCATATTGGTTTAGAATATGCTGATTGTGTATTTATTGTTGATAATGAAGCTTTATGGGATATTTGTACAAATTTACTTGATATAAAAAAAGGAAATTTTGTTAATATTAATCGTCTTATATCACAAGTTATATCAAATATAACAGCTGGTAGCCGTTTTAAAGATGGAAATACAATAGATTTTATTGATTTTCAAACAAATCTTGTACCATTTCCACGTATTCATTTTCCTTTAGTTAGTTATGCACCTATATATTCAATTGAAAAAGCTTATCATGAACAAAATGATACACAATTATTAACACAAGATTTATTTCATAGAAATAATCAAATGATTAAAGTTGAACCATCAACAGGAAAATATATGTCTATTGCAATTATATATCGAGGTGCAATATCACCAATAGATATTAATCATACAATTAATAGATTAAAAAATGATAGAAAAATTTCATTTGTTGATTGGTGAGTTATAATATTCTTTAGGAAAAATAAAGTTTAACTAGGAATTATAATACTCTATAGTAGCGTTCATGAGTAAACAATTTTTATTAGAAAAACAGTGAATAATTAAATTTGAAGAAGTAAATAATAATTACATTTAGAAAATCCATTCAAAATAACATAAGATGCCGGCTAAAGATACAACCTTGACATAGTCAACTTTCAACAAAAATTTCATTATACATTCTCTATGAGATACTAAGAATAAAAACAAAATAATAATAAGATAGACTGATAACGACCGGTCTACCGGCATCGGTTTCATATCCAATGCTGGATATTCGAAATTCGAGAAAAACATTTTTTTTTGGCATATTCAGACGATGTTTTTGAAGTGAAATTTAGGAAAATTAGGTTTAAAAAATACGTCTGTTGGATTTTGAAAAATTAATTCTTTTTTCCATATGATAGCAAATTATATCGTAAATAGAGATTTGTATTCTAAGATTTTTACTATCAGAACTTCAGTTTTGATAAAAAAAAATGAATATCTTATTGAGAATCAGTACAAAAATCTGCATCGAATCATATAATAATCAAAATTTTAGAATACAAATTTGTATTTATGACTTTTTTTGCTCATAGTTCGAATTGTCGGCATATTCTTACTTATGATTTTTCATATTTTACTACCAGATGTTTATATTTACTCGTACAACATTCAACAAAATGATAAAAGATCTTTTTCAGAAAGCATTTAAATTCTCTAGGCAGATGCTTTTATAATTCATTATCAATTAATAAGAATAAATGCTAATATCTTTATTTTTATAGAGAAATATCCATACTATAAAACTACCGACTTCGACAATTTTTACTATTTTCAAAAAAAAAAAAAACGAACTTAAAGAGTAAATGAGATTCTATTAGTTCACTATTAAAAATAATATTTCAGATCTTTCAAAAAGTCTCTAACGAGGGAATCTTTTCAGATGACACCCTCCGTTTTGATTCGTTCGTATCTCATTTAATCGAGTATATTGAGGTAGTAAAAAGCCTAAAAGGATTTTTCCCCAATGTTCTTCCTTCAAAACTTATGGTCGTTTTATTGAATTTTCGATCCATTCCCACGTATTTACGGAAAAATCAAAATAGGGAATTTCGACTTGATATTTCATCTATAGATAGGCCTAATGGTCCTTAGAATATCCTGAAAGTTTCAGCTAAAAATAATGTTCCTTTCTTGAGATATTGAATTTTCAAGTGAACTCGGTTTTTGTGACCAATCTGTGGCAGGCGACTATTTTTTGAAAATTCAATATCTCAAGAAAGGAACATTATTTTTAGCTGAAACTTTCAAGATATTCTAAGGACCATTAGACCTATCTATGGATGAAATATCAAATCGAAATTCCCTATTTTGATTTTTTCGTAAATGCCTGGAAATGGGTCGAAAATTCAATAAAACGACCATAACTTTTGAAGGAAGAACATTGGGGGAAAATCCCTTTAGGCTTTTTACTACCTCAATATACTCGATTAAATGAGATACGAACAAATCAAAATGGAGGGTGTCATCTGAAAAGGTTCCCTCGTAAGTACCGCCGCACTAAAACATTTCTTCACTCC